AACCTCCAACTCCTGAGCTCAAGCAAGTCTCCTGCCTCAGCCTCCCAAGTAGCTGGGACTACAGGTACCTGCCACAACGCCTGGCTATTTTTTGGTAGCAGCTGTCATTGTTGTTTGGCGGGTCCGGGCTGGATTCAAACCTGCCACCTTAGGTGTATGTGGCTGGCACCTTAGCCATTTTAGCCACAGGCGCCGAGCCCCTCTATGACTTTTTTGAAAATGAGAATAATGAATGTGAATCATGAATCTGTAGCTCAGTGGAGAAACAGAACTTTATCTCAGTTATAGCCTGAGAATATCAATGTATATTCTAATGATAACTGAGAAAAACTAACCTAGTATATAACAAAACTATCTGCTAATATTTGGAAATTAAAGAAGAATAAGAAAGTTATAGTTGATAACAAGAAAGCAGAAATTTTGAATGATGAAATAAATCTATGAAAAAGTCAGGTACAATGAAATACTTAACAAGGTAAGAAAAACAGAAAAAATATTAGGTGCAGTGGCTCATGCCAGTAATCCTAGTATCTTGGGAGGCTGAGGAGGATTGATTAAGGCCAGGAGCTAGAGAAATATGACTTACAGAACCATGTGATTTTTAGTGAGCACAGAATAGAGTTACTTTATGAGAGCCCAGACTTAACTATTTTCTTTTTTGACTTTCACTTATTGTGGTTTGAGGACAAAATTGCATATACCTAACAATGGAAGTGGCATTCAAGAGAATGACAAAATCAGGTACGGCATCTTCTCACCAGTGACATGTGCCATACAGCACCTGTGCAGCCAGCCAGGAACCCAGCTCTGCAGCAAGCGGAGTTTGGTTTCAGAGTTAAGAACTGTATCTCACAGTGTGGTGTGTAACGACCAGGAGGCGGTGTGTCATAGACGTCTCTGACTAAAGAAGTGCCTCGAAAAGTTAGGTTTGTGGCAGCAAATGATCCTAATATTAGAAAATGTGTTTGTGAATGTGGAACGTGCACATCCAAGGAGAAGGCAGCACAGGATCTGACTATGACTTCACATCAAGCGGACTCTACTATTCCCTCGGCCCAGGCTCCTAAAGGGCAAGCTTGGAAAGGCACTGCGTGCAGCTGGGCCGTCAGGAACAACTTTCAGGACATGGTGCCCTTGAACAAGTTCTTAGAGATCTTGTCAGGGTCAGCAGTCTACTGTGTGAATTCACCTTGCTATAGCAAACTTTTTGTTGTTGTTGAGACAGAGTCTCACTGTTGCCCAGGCTAGAGGGCTGCAGCATCATAGCTCATAGCACCCTCAAACTCCTCGGGTCTTGGGGTCAGGTGATCTTCCTGTCTCAGCCTCCTGAGTAGCTGAGACTACAGGTGTCTGTCCACCACAATACCTGGCTAATTTTTCTATTTTTTGTTTTTTAGAGGTGTGGTCTCAGTCTTGCTCAGGCCAGTCTCAACTCCTGAGCTCAAAGGATCCCCCTGCCTTGGCCTCCTGGAGTATTAGGATTACAGGCATGAGCCCATCTGGTGATATAGCCATTCTTGGTGAAAAGGAAAAAAACCCTTGAAAGTATTTGTCTCTTAGACTTGGGTGTGGTTTTTAAGAGGGGGTAAAGAAGTCCAGTAAGCCAGGAACGCGTACCTTCCACTCAGCTGTATTCTATCAGCAAGTTTGGAAAGCTGATCTGGAAGCCTTCTCTGTTTGATCACTCCCTCGGGTGTGACGGAGACCTCACAGAGCGAATACTGATCCGGGGTGGCAGTGACAGCAAACTCCCTGATAGCCTGAATGACTACTTCCTTGGCTGTAGTGTCCTTGCTGATCATGATGTATCGGCTTTGCTGATCAGCCTTAAAAACCCTTAGCACTTGATCTGGCAAGTCTGGGGGGATACAAAGACACACAAAAGTAGAAAGGATTTTAATATATGGTAATACAATTAAACAGAATAATTTGGGAGAGGGAACCCTAAAAAAGGTAATGCCAAACTTTCACCTCTCCCCGCTCTTCTTTAGAGATTCAATCAAGAACCCATTTTCCATCTTCCCCTATCAATAGCTGAATGATCTACAGACAACTGCAAACACATTAGTACACAACAGGAGCACATAAGATTGTCGTGTTGGCATCAAAGAAGCAAAATTTAAATCTAAAGTAAACCTTTATTATATTAAAAACTCCATTAAGTTGACCTAAAATATACCTTTTACTTTATGATAGGGCATGACTTAGTACACGGAATAACTGCCTGGTCTGCATTACCTTCGTTTTATGGAAGAGGAAACAAGTTCAGAGAGATTAATTTGCCCAAGGTCATGCCAAAAAAGTGTGCAGAATCTAAAAGGAATTGGTTACAAATCCTTGAAAGTTCAAGTTCATCTTGACTCTCAGCATCTCTGGGCATAGTACACACAGCAGTACCATTATGTTAGAAGGGAAAAGATTATCAGTAACAAAACAGAAGCGGCGTTTGTGAAGCTTACCAGGAGTAGCACTAAAATCTAAAATGCGATGATGTGACTGCAATAAATCAGGATTACTAGAGGACAAGGTCCCACTGACGGGCAATGCAGTTGGGATGTGCTTTGTCTGCCTTAATCCTACAATGCTGTCATCTTGAGACTGACCAATCCCAATATCGCTGAACAAAAAGGAAAATTAGAAAATAAATTATTAGCAAGTTAAAAAAAGTTATCACCATGTAAAAGACACAGACCATAAACCATATTCTATAAAACTCATAGCTAATGTGAAAAAGTCATTAATAAATTTGGCAGAAAATTGCAAAAGCAACGACTGTTTATTTTATTTTTTATTTATTTATTTTTTTTGAGACAGAGCCTCAAGCTGTCGCCCTGGGTAGAGTGCTGTGGCATCACAGCTCACTGCAACCTCCAACTCTTGGGCTCAAGAGAGTCCCCTGCCTCAGTTTCCCAAGTAGTTGGGACTACAGGTGCCCGCCACAATGCCCAGCTAATTTTTTGGTTGCAGCCGTGACTGTTGTTTGGTGGGCCCAGGCTGGATTTAAACCCATCACCTTAGGTGTATGTGGCTGGTGCCTTAGCCACTTGAGCCACAGGTGCCAAGCCAAGCAACGACTGTTTAAATGGATCCAACTAGATAAACCACAGAAAATATTTAACAGCTTCTTAGTAGGGAAATATATTCAAGAAAACATAAACTCTAGTTTCTGATGAAAATGGACTTAGAAGAAGGATGTTAAAAAGAATGCATTTACAATCACTAAAGTGCAGAAACAACCTAACTGCCCAGCTCACATGGACTAACAAGCTGTGGTATATGTTTACCATGGAATACGATTCAGCCATTAAAAAGATGGAGTTGAAACACATTCTTCTTAGTAAAGTATCACAAGAATAGAGAAGCAAGAATCCAAAGTACTCAATTCTAATGTGACTCCTGCAGACGATCGAATACATACCCACAGAAGATAAAAACAACTCAATTCCAGGCGGGAAGTGGGGGAACAAGGGAGAATGGGTGTGCTCCCACTTAAGGGACACAAAGTTAGGGTATATGGGACACCTCTTCGGGGTGGGACACAATTCTAAGAAGAACTTTACCTAACAAATGCAAATATTGTAACCTAATTCTTTGTACCCTCAATTAACCTGAAACAAATTTTTTTTTAAAAAAGGAATGCATTTAGTCTCACTGAACCAATAGTTCTACATCAGAATAATAAAATGTTTTATAATCTGATCTTCAAAACCTGAAGAAATTGAGTAAAACAAAAAAAAAAAAAAGAGAAAAAAAATTCAAACTGTCCTAATTTTATTCTCCATTGTTTTAGAGGGAAAAAATGAGATCACTATGTAGTCATAGGTAAGGATACCCTGACCGAGACTTTATTTCTTAATTATGCACAGCACAGAAAAGCAGTGGTGTGAGGTAACATTGCCTCGCATCAAAGAAAAGGCAAAGGAAATCCAATGACTCCCTTTTAACCCTCTTCTTACAATTTTTTAGTTGCACATTTAAATACCCAGAAAAATACTGGTTGATAGATAAAAATTCATTTCCATTTACAAAACACCTGTTACTGTGAACAACTGAAACATGATTTAAAAATATATAAAAATTATGTCTAGTTTTGAAGGCTCAAGTGTTTCTAAAATACAAGATCAAGTAAGACAATAAGCACCCCCACACAAAAATAACCAGATCACAAATATATGGTTATAGTTCTGACTAGTTTATAGAAACACCTTGAAATAAGAAGAAAATTATACTAACTTTGGGATTTAAACTAAGGCATAATAAATAAAATGAAGACATTTATTAGGCTTTGATACATTAGAGTTTGACCATAATACCTAACTTCTTAGCAGCTGTGCCTAGGGGGAAAAAAATCTAGCCAAAGTCTTTCTCTTTACTTTTTTGAAAGATGAAAATTACAGAAGCAAATAAGCAAGGGCAAGAACTTTCTTTTAAAGTCAAGACAAAAATTAAAACTGTTGACTTGATCATTCTTTCCTCTGAGCTCATCATTCTCTCTCCTCATATCTGATAACCAGATGGAATCCTGTGATGTCTACTCTCTCCTTCTCCAGCTATACACCCCGCCATGCCAATCCTTGACAACTCATACTATCCAGCACCTTAGCTTCTGTAATACTGGTGATGTTTGAGGAAAAACAACAATAATTTTTGTAACAATATTACATCTAGGTTCTTTTGATTTACCAATTTAGTAGCTTTGTCAAAAAAAAAAAAAAAAGAAGGAAATCTTGGCTGGGCACAAGCAACTCTGGGGGGCTGAGGCAGATGGACTGCTTAAGCTCAGGAGTTCAAGACCAGCCTGAGTAAGAGTGAGACCCCATCTCTACTAACAACAGAAAAATTAGCCAGGTGTTGTGGTGGGAAGCCACCTATTAGCCAGCACTTTGGGAGGCTGAAGCAAAACGCTCACTTAAACCCGGGAGTTTGAGGTTGTGATGAGCTGTGATGCCACAGCACTCTACTCAGGGCAGAGTGTCTCCAAAAAAAAAAAAAAAACCTCAAAAACACATGTTGATTTCTAGAAAAGCTTATGTAGTAGCTAGTATTAAACCAAGTCTGTTACCAACATAATAGATCTCACAGTTTACTGAGCCTTTCTTTAAATGTATTTATTGTATTATTTTTTCACTTTATTACACATATAAATTCAAATAATTTTCATATGAAAATATTTAAAAGAGCCACATATTCTCTTAAATGCAAATTATTTAAGATGTTTCTTCAGTGTCAACATACCTAATTGTCTTTTTGTTTTCTCCTGTTTGGCTTTTGAGTATCTCTTTAGAGAGATGTATTCAGATACACACGGAACAAAATCATACACAGTATTCTCATACTGTGTGCTGCCAGCTCTCGTACTGTGGATGGGTCACATCCCAGTTCTTACATGTCACATACTATTAATACTTGCCCGGGTCATGGTGACTTCTGTTTGTTTGTTTTAAGGTTCATATTTAACTGCCAAATATGACTCTAAGATCTTTTTTTTTCTTCCTTATCATGCTGCTAATAATTCTGCACTCAGGCAATTTTTTTCCATCCATTTAAAATTAACTTTTTCTTCCAGGGTCATTTTAAAAAGCAAATCCTATTTTCTGTAAATGCCAGCTGTCCTAATCCATTGTCTCTTAGAAACTTACTCAGTATAAACACACCCTTGAAATTATAAATAAAATCATCATACTCATTCCTTATCCTTAGGACTCTGCCTAGTCTTTAGTTATAAAACTACCCAGCATAACTCTATAGTTCAATGGGGACAACTGCAAGTTTGACACTTAGACCACCACTCATAAATTTTAAATCCTATCTCGCTATTCTATGGATGAAAATTTTATTTAACTTGAAATTCTTTTCTTTTACTTTTTTGAGTCAGGGTCTCACTTGCCTCGGCTAAAGTGTGGTGGTGCAAGCTCAAACTTCTGGGCTCAACTGATCCTCCTGCCAAAGCCTTCTAAATAGCCAGGACTACAGGTTTGCACAAGTGTGCTTGGCTAAGTTTTTAAAATACATTTTATAGAGATGGGGTCTTGCTATATTGCCTGGGCTGGTCTCAACTCAAGCAAATCTTCCTGTCTTAGCCTCTGAAAGCGTTTGGATTATAGCTGTGAGCTGATGCACCCAACCTGAAATGGAATTTTTTATAAAAGAAAAAGGAATGCTTGATATAGTCCTAAAGGTCTGTATCAACTACTTCTCTTTAGACTAATACAATTATAAAAAAAAAAAAAAATTAAGCTTCTGTTTTCACATTATCGCTTATGTGTATGTGTACATGCACATGTGTATTTCATTTTTTTAGAAATAGGGTCTCTCTCTAACATGTAGGCTGGAGTTTAGTGGCTGGTCATAGCTTACTGTAACCTGAAAGTTGTGGATTCAAGTGGCCAGCCTGCCTTGACTATAGGTGTGCACCATTGTGCCTGGTTAATTTTTTTTTAAGTTATATAGAGATGAGGTCTTTCTACATTGCCCAGGCTGGTCTTGAACTCCTGGCCTCAAGCAAAGTTCCCACCTGAGATTATAGGCATTGGCCACCATGTCCAGCCTCTCTTATATCATTGCCATTTGAAGAGTAATTAAATGTGGCATACTGAGTTACTTAATATCAAAAAACATCAACATGCTGGGCATGGTGGGTCATGCCTATAATCCTAGCACTCTGGGAGGCCAAGGCAGGGGCTCACTCAAGGCCAGAAGTTCAAGACCAGTCTGGGCAAAAGAGCAAGAATAAGTCTAAGTGAAAATACAGAAATAAAAACTAAAGCCAGGTGTGATGGTTCACGCACATAATCCTAGCACTTTGGGAAGTCAAGGTGGGTAGACTGCTTGAGCTCAGGAATTTGAGACCAGCCCGAGCAAGAACGAGACCCCATCTCTACAAAAAATAGAAAAACTAGCTGGGTGTTGTGGTGGGAGCCTGCAGTCCCAGCTACTCAGGAGGCCAAGGCAAGAAAATCTCTCAGGCCCAGGAGTTTGAGCCTGCTGTGAGCTATGATGCCAGAGCACTCTACCCAGGGTGACAAGAGTGAGACTCTGTCTCAAAATAAATGAATGAATGAATGAATACCACTAAAACTTTGCTGATAATAAATGAACTTTTATAAAACATCCCTAGACTGAAGAAGGAACTTAAATGAAGAAATAAGCAGACAAGTAAAGCTAAACATCAGAGATACCTGCAACTTTGTCTAGCTTGAGTTTCTGAAACAAATCAACAACCAAGAAGAAATTCAAGAGTACCCCTGACATTCTGACTATAGAGTTGACTGGAAAGAATGAGAGAAATCCTGCGTGTGGTTGTTGATGTCTTGGCAGCAGGTAAGTAACTGAAAACAGAAAACTGAGGGGGAAAGGAGAATGTCAGGGATCAATAGTGGCAACCAGCTGAAGAAGCAATTTGATTGTAAAGAGCAGATGCTGAGGGTAGAGAAGATACCCAGAAACAAAGATATAGTAGAGAAAACCACTCTTAATCACCCTAGGGGACAGAAGTGGCAAACACACTTACTTTTTAAAAAGTTCAAACGATGAAAAATACATAGTTCAAATGGGGAAGTGCTAAAGCATCTCTGATGAAGCCTGGGAGGGGGCGACTAAGTAGCAAAAATGGATTGAAAAAACTAAGGTGATTGTTTAGCATTACTTCTCTAAGAAAGCTTAGCGTTAAAACACTTGTTAGACTCATGCAAACATTAATTACATCACGACTTTTGTGAATCATTTTAACACAATAAAATAATGTACGGAAAATTAGTACAGACACTCACTTATATGGTTTCTGTGGCAAGATACTGATCCGGGTCTTGTCGAGTATCTTTTTTAGTTTGTTCCTTCCTCCAACGGTGTTGGCTTTACTTTTTTTATTCACTTTTTCAAGTCCTATCACCTGCTCTACATCTACAGCAAGATCTGGAATGGAGTAGCGACTGGCCTTTTTGATGTCACCAATTTTAGGAAGGTGAGGGGCACCATTTCTTTTCTCTTCTGATAATCTTGTTAGAAGTTCTTTAAAAACTAAAATACATAGAAAAATCACAAAATGCTAATTATAAGAATTCTAAAGAATTCCAAGGCAATTGGCGGACTTGTAAATAGGTGAGAAGTACAGACTTCAGCTATCAAAACTGCAATGTTGTGGAAAAACCCTATTGCAGTAAATGAACGACACCAAGAATCTGCTTGGTGTATTTGCTCTATCAAAGTAAGTTTAAAAAGAGTACTATAACTGCTTTAATCTTTAGGCACTTTAGTATTTATCAGTAAGATTTCATTTATCAATCAAAACAGATTAAGAACATTTTTATGGTCCTTAAGTCAGATTCTTAAGTCAGATTTTTTGACTTAGAACTAACCATGTATTTTACTATAAATACATTTTTCCTTATGATGTTTAATTACAAAAATGGCTCTTTCCATCAATAACTGTTAATGAAAACAAATAAAAAAAAAACCCAAGAAGAGAAAAATGAAAGTCAATAAAAATACTTACCAAATAAATTGGTTTTCACAGTGATTGATAAATGTGTGTTATTTCTAAGAATCTCCATGGCTTTTGAAAGCTGAATATTTTCAAAGTTTTGACCATTTACTTCTAATATCTAAGAATGAAATTGTAAAATTAATGCCGGTATCACAACACACTGACGGAAGAAAGGCACCAAAATTCACCCTTAAGCCTGGATTAAGAAAGGGCGTACCTGATCGCCACGTTTCAAGCCCGCTTCAGTTGCTTTGCTGCCTGAATCTACACTGTCAACAAAGATCCCAAATCCTTTTTCAGAGCCTCCTAGTAAGATAAAAGGCAAAGGAGATTCTCGGGATGGTTTTGTCAACGTCATCAATCTTCTTTTTGCTTTAGCTGCACATGCAATATTTAATAGCCTTAGATGTCCGCCCATTTTCTGTAAGAGTTCAGGAAAAGTGGTGTCGATTCAGACAGGCCAAGTAAATGAAATTAAAGCTGATATTTTGGTTTAAAAAAAAATCACAAATATTACCTCTCTTTCCAGATTATTTTCAAATTCTTCTAAAAATCGAGTCATTGCAGGATCTCCTTCGAAGTCATTGAAGTGATTATTCACCCACAGTAATACTACCCGTGTAACCTGAAAGATCAATTGTTTTCGTCTTTATTGTGGTGAAAATGTGGTTAATCTCACTTCAAAAAAGATATCTAACTTTCAAACAATTTACCAGGCAGTACTGAACAGGAAGATAACAATAAAGCCTTCAATAAGCATTTCATTTATATTTAGAAAAAAATGACCTTCTGAAAATTATTTATATAAGTATATAAATTTATATGTTTATATATTTATACTTTGAATATAGACTACGTTGCTTTGCCAGGAAGGGTTTTGAATCTGTGAAGGCATTTAAAACTTACATCTTGCTCTACTTTTAAAACATATTTGAAACTGATCAAAAATAAAACCAACTGATTAAAATAAAACCAAAACAGGTTAGTACAAAGGAAGACAGAAACTAACAAATAAAAAGGTAGAAGCACACACTGGACTGAGAGAATGGATGGTATTAAACCTAGAAGGATCTATGCTAAAATGATGTATTTTGTCATCCAATTTGGCCTTGACAGAGCTCTCAAGAGCTGCTGAAGACGGACGGTCTCTACTCCCCTTCAAAGTGTATCACTCCACCCACAGCCAGCAATGGCTATAATGAAATGCGGCTTTGGTGCCAACTTAAAGATTGTAACTTTGATCTGGCATACACTGTCTACCAAACCAGAGAACCACATTCCCATGGAATCTAGACATTTGGTAATGTTTTAACATATTCCCAATAGAATTAACATTCAAATATTTGGTGGCCAATATACTGGCCTTGGCATTTAAAGAAATAAGACATTTCTAGGTCTGAACTTAGAAATATATAATAAGAATTATGATTTTTACATCTTATCTTTCATGGTTTTTCACTTAAAAATATATTTCATTAAATTAATTTGAATGTAACTAGTGGAATAAAAATATACATTAAAGGTATCTTCTGGGTTTAATTCTAATATTTCCTATGTAAGCGCCAAAGCAATACAGTTCTAACCTTATCCCTGAGGCTCGGGTCATTAAACCACTCCAACAACTTTTTGCCCACTTCCATTGGGCTAGAAAGAAATGTCCTGTAGGTCAGCAGGAAGTCCTCTATGAATGTTGGATCTACTACCGAGTGCTCTTCCACCAAATGCATTGTTAACCTTTCTGAGGTGCCCTGTAACAAATAAAAGGTTTAATCACTACCCTGAAGATAGAACATTTATATGGCATCTTGATTTCAAATCTTCAACACGAAATGAAATGGGTAGCAACACAGATAATAAAACTATTCATCAGAAAACATAATTTTTTTTTCCGACAACTGATAATCTTCAAGATATATTATGCTTAAAAGCAAAAAAGTTAAGAAAACAAAGAAGGAAAAATTTTGAGGTCAGGAGTTCAAGCCCAGCCTGGGTGACATATATATCTACAAAGAAAAGAAAATTTAAAAAATTAGCCAGGTGTGGTGGCTTCAACTACTCAGGAGGCTGAAGCAGGAGACGGCTTGAAGCCAGGAGTTCGAGGTTGCAATGACCTATGATCCTGCCACTGTACTCTAGCCCAGGCAACAGAGCAAGACGTTTTTTCAAAAATAAGTTTAAAAAATCCTAAATTGTCACAAGTGATAATACCAAAACATGTCCTTTCCGTGGGAAGAAGGGGTGGCTCTCTGTCTTACCTTGATAACAATGTGCCCCTTTCTTGTTCCCGTCCGATCGAGCTCTCTGTGTTCTTTCACCATAACAATCTCTCCCTCCTCTTCAACTTTTTGCATGTTCTTTTCTACTTGGTTGAGAATACGGCAATAATCTTGCTGGGCTATGCAGACGAACTGGAATAAAACACAAGTCACATGTTAATGATAAAGTGCTTGCAAAAGACCTAGCAGTACTAATAATTCAGTTTTTAAATTATTGAAACAGACATTTTTCCCTGTCTTTCTCATACTTGCTAAATGAATGCTGTAATGAACTTTAATCAGACTTTTCTACTTTTAAATGTATTTCTTTCTCGGTCAAGAAAAGTTTCAGTTTAAGCATATTTATATGTATTTTATCTTTTAAAAAATTTTTTTTGAGACAGAGTCTCACTCTGTTGCCCTGGGTAGAATACTATGCATGCGTCGTAGCCCACAGCAACCTCCGACTCTTGGGCTCAAGCAATCCTCTTGCCTCAGCCTCCTGAGTAGCTGAGACTACAGGCACCTGCCAGACCATCTGGCTAGTTTTTCTATTTTTTTTGTTTTGTTTTGTTTTGTTTTTGAGACGGAGCCTCAAGCTATCCCCCTGGGTAGAGTGCCATGGCATCACGCTCACAGCAACCTCCAACTCCTGGGCTCAAGCGAGTCTCCTGCCTCAGCCTCCCAAGTAGCTGGGACTACAGGCGCCCGCCACAACGCCTGGCCAGTTTTTCTATTTTTATTGTTATTTATTTATTTTTTGAGACAGAGCCCCAAGCTGTCACCCTGGGTAGAGTGCCATGGCATCACAGCTCACAGCAACCTCCAACTCCTGGGCTTAAGCAATTCTCTTACCTCAGCCTCCCATGTAGTTGGGACTACAGGGGCCTGCCACAATACCCGGCTAATATTTAGTTGTAGTTGTCATTGTTGTTTGGCAGGCCCAGGCTGGATTCGAACTCACCAGCTCTGGTGTATGTGGCTAGCACCTTAGCTGCTTGAAGTACAGGTGCTGAACCAGTTTTTCTATTTTTAGTGGAAAATATTTTTAGTAGAGATGGGGGTCTCACTCTTGCTCACACTGAGCTCAGGCTATCCACCCACCTCAGCCTCCCAGAGTGTTAGGATTATGGGCATGAGTCACCACACTAGGCCATTTATGCATATTTTACATTCAAAATCCCAGCAATTGTAAAACTCAGAAGAGTACTTTTTCATGCTCCTTGAAATTAAAACAACTAGGGGGAGGGAAATGGAGTGGGATCTTAAAGGATAAATACAAAAACATAATTACCATTTAGTGACTTTTTGAAGATTTAAAAAGCAACAAAAATAAGAATGGTTTTAATAAAAAATATAATCAAAGATACCCAATTGAATAGATACATAAATTTGCTAATTATATTGATGAGACACCATTTTAGAAAGCCTGTCCAAGGAAGATTACAAAGGAAGCCGCATATCTGTCATAGCTCAAATCGTTATTCCTTATAACTGGTATTAAGGGTTAGCAACAATATGCATATCGAGTAATCACTCCTCCATGACCCCAAATATTAAAAAATTCAGAGCTTACAGGCAAACCATTTAAATAATTACATTTCTCAATACTTTTAAAGAAAGTTAATTGTGAATTACAGAAACCACTTATTACACAAATTAACCAAAGGCCATTGAGGAGATAAAAGCAGACACTTCAGCAAATAACAATTATTTTCCTTAAATTTGAACAATTTATTCTGATTTAAGAAATCACTAGGAATGGAAAGAATTATGGCATGTCTTCTTCTCCTTTAATGAGAAGAAGATGAAAAATAAGGAGGTGCTAGGGCGGTGGCCTGTGGCTCAGTGAGTGGGGTGCCAGCCCCATATACCAAGGGTGGCGGGTTCAAACCCAGCCCCAGCCAAACTGCAACAAAAAAAATAGCTGGGCGTTGTGGCGGGTGCCTGTAGTCCCAGCTACTCGGGAGGCTGAAGCAAGAGAATTGCCTAAGCCCTGGAGTTGGAGGTTGCTGTGAGCTGTGAAGCCACAGCACTCTACCAAGGACTATAATAAAGTAAGATTCTGTCTCTAAAAAAAAAAAAAAAAAGAAAGAAAAGAAAAATAAGGAGGTGCTTAAATTAAATGGTATAAGATAAAAATGATGCAAACACCCCAAATCATGTTTTTATAGGCTTAATGCTCATATTGAATTTTTTTTAAAAAGGCCGAGCACAGTGGCTTGAGCCTGTAATCCTAGCACTCTAGAAAGCTGAGGTAGGAGGACTGCCTAAGCTCAGGAGTTCCAGCTGAGCCTGAGCAAGAGCGAGACCCCATTTCTACTAAAACAAATAGAAAAATCAGCCAGGTATTGTGGCAAGGGCCTGTAGTCCCACTTATTGGGGAGACTGAGGCAGAGGATCACTTGAACACAGGAGTTTAATGTTGCTGTCAGTTAGGCTGATGCCATAGCACTCTAGCCTGGGCAGGAGAGTAAGACTATCTCAAAACGAAACAAAACAAAATACACAATACTAAGTATTGTAATAATGGTCACAATGACAAGAAAATCATCATCATCATGTTATATTATGATAGCCATACAGAAGCATTCACAATTTGTCCTCCTAATCATACCATGTGTTAGGTACTATTAACTCCACCATATAGATAGGAAAAATAGCCTTATAATTACATGCTGGCTAAATTTAAAAAAATTATACATGCACACATGAACATTTTGGAGGAAAATATAATAAAATGCTAATATTATTTCTGAGCAATGCAAATCACGAGCAACTTTCATTTTACTTAATATGCTTTTCTATATTTCCCATACTTTCTGCATAATCAATAGTTTTTTTAAGAAGTAGAAGCAGCAGTTCACAAGAAAAACAGCATATTGCAATATTGAGTTTCTCCCACTGAGTTGGCTGACATAATCTCACTCATTTTTCTACTAGGCATTTAGAAATAGAAGTTAAAAATTCAAAAGACATAGGCTTTTTTGTACATTAAGCATAATTTAATTTTTAAGAATACCTTTTTAAGAAAGCCATTTCCATAATACTGACCACAGGCATGAATTTGGTCATCATATTTGAAAAATATGATCCTTAGTCTCTTATCTTAACATTATCATTTTTTGTTTCTATTCCTAGAGCAGCAAAATTGTTCCCCAAATATGCATAGGAGATTTAGAAAGGTTTTATCGCCAAATATTTTTAGGTCTTCTTTCTTATACTCAGTTTTAGAGAACATAATTAGATCATCATTTTCTCATTAATCCTCTAAAAAAGAAAATACATCCCAGAGTTCAAATGAATAAGTAGATAGATAGATATGAAAAAATGCTTTTTAAAAGAAATGCACAAAAATTAGTCTTCTTGTCTCAAGATTTTAAAGAAACTACAAGAGATTTGATTTTAAAGTCTTAGTGTCTAGACAGACATTTTGGCATTTCTTCTGCAACAAACTGAAATATCATCCAAAAAGAAGAAAAAAAAAATCACAAAGTGAATTTCTAATATGGCCTTACAGGGTATCTAAAAAAGAATAAACTTTAGTTGAAAATATCTATCTAATTAAATTAGCAACTTAGTTTTACTTTAAGAAATCTACAGCTCTAAATATGAAATTCACAGGTAAAATTTAATTTTAACTGGTATTATGAAGTCAGTTGAAAATCTGTGAATTGTTTTAGTGAGGTTTTAGACTTTCAAACAGTTGTAAATACATGAAGAACCACATAATCTTAGTACCCTGAGACAAAATAAAAATCTAAACAAGATCTCATCTATAAAAGATCAATGGCAGTGTATGTCACAGGATTATTTTCTTTTTTCTTTTCTTTTTTTTTTTTTTGCAGTTTTTGGCCAGGGCTGGGTTTGAACCCACCACCTCTGGCATATGGGGCCAGCACCCTACTCCTTGAGCCACAGGCGCCACCCCTACAGGATTATTTTCTTTTGGGCACATGACATAATAATTTATATTTAGGTACAAAAAATTAAGACAATGGATGAAATAAAGTTAAACTTCACTCAACATATAGTCAACTTTCAATTTATTCATGGCAAACTGCTTTCTTACCCAACACTCTTTAATTCAAAAATGTCATTGGTTCCCATGACCCCAGGAAAAGTTGAGTCTGACACAGATTTACCTTAAGAGGTTACATTATTTAAAGCGGCACTTTGTAGTCTGTAGGGGAAGTTCATACCTAATTGCTCACATAGGTATCCAAGTGCTCCTTCCCCACTGAAGGGTGGAGGGCAGGGCTAAGCAATGCCTGGGTGTCACTGGCAGGCCTAAGACACAGGCAGTGGAGAAGGAAAATAGGGAGAAGAATAAAGGGAGTAGGAGGGTGGAAAAGGAGGAAAGGGGAAAAGGGGCACAGGAGGAGGGAAAAAGAAAAGAAAGAGGTATATATGGGGAATGGAAAACCATTACTAGTCGCTTGCTATAGAGGATGTCTATACCAAGCTCTGACCTTTGTCCTTCACACCAAACAGGGCAATTAGAATCAACACTAAAGAGAGAGAACTGGAAGAGGAGAACGCAAAAAAGGGACCCAGAACAAAACACAAGTTTGACCATATCATGGGATCCAAACAAACAGAACATTTTCTCATTCTTGTGTTCTTAGGGTTACCCGTGAGCTCAAACATGTATCTCGTTACCTGACAGTCATTGTGGACCCCACTGGAATATAAGATAATGAGGGCTAATTCTAGGCAAAGTTGCTTTCTCTTGGTAAAGACATTACTACTCTTGTTAATTTCAGTTGCTAGCTGTTGATGCCTTAACAACATGGTCAGTAGAATGACAGAGAGGTATGGAGGTTAATTTCACGGAGGAATAAAAACATGCTTCTTACTGTTTCCTTTATTCTCCCTAATTACAAATCCCACAATTACAAGAGCATAGTCTATCATTTGTGTTTTCTGACAGATATATGACTTTTTTTTAATTTAAAAATACTTTATTGCTGGCTCAGCGTCTGTAGCTCAAGTGGCTAGGTCCCCAGCCACATACACTGGAGCTGGCAGGTGCCTGTAGTCCCCGCTGCTTGGGAGGCTGAGGCAAGAGAATCACTTGAGCCCAGGAGTTTAAGGTTGCTGTGAACTGTGATGCCATAGTACCCTACTACCCAGGGTGATGGCTT